AGGCGGCGCACGCTACGGCCGCCACTGCAAGTGAACAGAAGGTAGGCCCACAAAACACAGCCTCCGATGCAGGCAAGGCTCAACACGAAGGAGTCCTCGACACCGGCGGGAGCTCGGAGTGGGCCACAACTACAGAACAGTAGCAGCACCTATATATATATATATATATAAATACATATATACATATATATATGGGTATATATGTACATACATGTATATGTACACACACACGCTTCCGAACACCGTCGCGGATGTGTGTGCATGTGTTGTGTATAGATGTATAAAAACACGTATGTTTATGTATGCCAGCATCTGCATATACATATGTGGATACAATGTTACTGCTATAGTTAAAAGGGCTACTACTGCGCCTCCAAGGGGCTCTCATGCTTCGCCTGGTTCGTGGACCTCGTTATATAGTTATGTAGATGTATACATATACATATATATATATATATACACAAACATATTCCTCAAGGCTTGGATCATTTCCGTCGCAAGTCACATCAATCAAAAGTGCACCAGAAGTACGAGACAACGGGGCTACTGGGAAGAATGGCACCTAGGAGAGGTGATTCAACGCCTGGCGCACCCAACGGCCTTGCCAGCAGCGCTGCGCGTCTGTCCAACCGCAAGCGCGCGAGACTGGTCGGATCGCTGAGCCGAAACGCCCGAGCACTTAATCTTATTCGCCCAGGCGAGCACATTCTGAGGCCGAGAGTCTGGTGGAACTCCGGGGGCGGGCACAGACCTGGGACCAACGCGCAAGGGAGGCGAGTCAGGAACCGAGCGCCGCAAACCTGACAAGCGCCACTTGCCGAGCAAACCTCGCGCTCCGCGCTACGCGCGGGCGTGCGACCGCGAAGCGCGACTGGCGGCGAAAGACATTCCGCTCGCCGCGCACGAATGCCTCACGGATTACGGGCTCGGCGCAGGCAGAACTCCGGGTCCGGAGTCGCAGAGCGAGGAAGAACGCATGATGCATGCAACCGCGTCGCTCCATTGAGCGGGCTGGCCCACCATCACTTGCATTCGCGGTGCTCCGTCGACCCGGAGGTCGGGGCGGCGAGAACACAATGCAGGCATGCGCCACAGACAACGAAGATCTCCCCGAAGCAGGGCAAACCGGGGGATAGCGGAGCCCCCGCGCGGGCCCCAAGCAGCGACAACAGCTCAGGCGGGCCGGGCCGCGCAGCCCCAGCGAAATAGACCAGTCGCTGCCGCATGAGAATGCAATCGGCTGATGATTGCTTATGAACCGGTCTCACGCTCAAATCGGCGCCCGTGGAGCCATGCTGGCAGAGGCCGAAGATGCGTCGAAGAACGCGCATGCACGGCGCGTGAAGCACTCGCAGAGCAGGCAGGGAGAGGACTCAAACATGGCAAACGAATGGCTGCCTAGGAAATAGAAGACAATGAAGAATGAGCGAGGCGTATAAGCGTTCCGCAACACCTAAACAGTCGTTGCTAAACACGGGCGACGACAGGGGGCCACAAGAGGCCAAGGCGAACTTTGCCCGGGCGCGGGTTTCAGGTACAAACTGGCCCGTTCCAGGGGCCACGCCCCTGAGATGCTGCAGTCAAAGACGGCCGTGATGCTCTCGTCTCGGCCAAGGACCTGCGCGGCCAAGGATTGGCCCGGGCTTCGTCGACGTCGCTGGCAATGCTCGGCGGAGCGCGCGCCGCGGCATACGATGGTGCACTCAGTTTTGCCGGGCTTCCAGTTGATGATGAACTTCGACATGCCGAACATGGATGCAAGCTTGGTCAATGGGACGCCCGCGCGTTCGCGTGACACGCGCGGGGCGGGCGCGCTGGGCATTAGGCACTCGTCCCCCGCGAATGTCACGTCGATGACAGACGCGTCTCCTTCTGGCAGGCCAGCCCCCATGGGAGAAGTGAACCAGCACGCGCAACTGCCACGGCGCAATCTGAGCGCGATGCCGGCGTCGAGCAGGTCATCCCTGAGCGCGATCAGGCCGACGTAGTAGACGCCAAAGAAAACTGCGCTGCCGAACTTGCAGCCATATATATATACATATATGTATATACATATATGTATATACATACAAACATACCTAAATAAGTACGCCAGGGATGACAGTCTCGAGGATACACCAAATTAACTTCGCAGGCGCGCATGCACGTGGTGCTAACCAAAAGCAGGGAAAGCAGGATGAGACGCGGCGTGCAATCCGTCCGTCAGCCCGTCGAGCAGGACCAGCGGTAATATGATGGCTGCGGTCAGCCTGCTGGGCGTCGCAACGAGGGTCGCGATCGACCAAATCGAGCTGCTGAACTGCACTAGCACTGAGCCGAAGACGGCGATTGAGCACAAATGTTCGACACTCAGGCCGGCGCGCGTCTAAAATGTGAGACGGACGGCGGATGCGCGAGACACAATCAGCGCCAAGCATGGGCGCGTGGGTCTGGGCACGCACAAGCGCGCTTCATTCCGCTTCCCGCACTTCGCGCCCCGGTGGGGTTGGAGTCCGCGAGACGAGCTGAATGCTTCGCCGCGCTCGCAGACACACGCTTCCACCCCTGGCGTCGGGCGCAGGGCGGGGGGCTGATCGCGCGGAGTCTGCGAAGACAACGCGACCAACGAACGCCCCCCCCCCCCCCCCCCCGCATCTCCATCGCGCATCAGGCGGGCTCGCGCCGGAGGACCATCAGCAAGGGCGGGCAAGTCAAGAGGGGGGCGGGGCCGAAGGAATCCGGCACCCGTCTCCAGAGCGCGGGCCCACCGCTTCGGGCGAGCGCGCAAGATGGCAATCAGCGCCCGCGGCCTCGCGCGCACGGGCGCAGCAAGTCAAGCGAAGCCCGGCGAGGGCGCGCCCGATCGACAGCCGACGGAGCGCCCCCCGCGCCTCGCGGTCCGCGCGGGAGCGGGGGGGGAGCGAGGCCCCCCGAAGATCCTTCCGAGGACGGCCACGTAGACTGCATTCAAACACTTCAGGCGGCTTGGAGAGGGCGCAAGAACATGAATGCTGAAAAGCAGCCGAGTGACCAGAAGACACTGCGGGAGGTGCAAATTGCGACGAGTCTGGATGAGATGAGCAGCAAACACTTCACATGAGATCGGGCCGCACGCGGCGAGCGCCTTGGCCGCCTTAGCTCTCGCATCAGACATGTCAGCGCGCTGCAGGGACGAGCCGGCGCCTAAGTGCTCGCGATAACTGGCGACGCCGATGGACATGCCGCTGCCGGGGGCAGATGCGGCGGGCGCCGTTGCATTGGCGACGCGCTTCTCGGCGAACCGTGGCCTTCAGGCCCGGCGCGACGCCCTCGCCGCGGCCGAGGGAGGAGCGCGCGCCTCGTCGCTCCAGACCCCACGTGCAAAGCAGAGGCGCAGGCTCACTGCGGCGCGGATGGCTCGCGAAGTTGGCCCCTGGCAGCGACGTCGCCGCGAAAATATGGCATCGACGCAGTTCTGCCGCGCCTTTTTGACCTCGTCGGCGGCCGAAGTAAGCTCGCAGCCAGGCTTGATCAAGCACTGACTGGGCTCGCGAGGCCGGGGGCCGCGGGCGCGCGGGGCCGCGAAAACTTGCCGGGGGTCGCGCTCATCAGCGGCGCTGGAAGCGCCGGCAGCCAGAAGGCCAATAAACTATTGAGGGCGACTAGCAATTAGAGGGCGCCTTGCCTTCTGAATAGCGAAGATCTGAGCAGCGCAGCACGCCTCGGCCATGAACAATCGACCGACCTCCGCACGGAGAGCAGATATATGCCAAAGGAAGAGGAGGAGGAGACGACGACGACGACGAGGAAAGCGGGGAGCTCTGCTCGTGCCAGGCAATGAAAACAGAAATCATGTGCATGGACTGGCGTTGCGTAGTGAAATTGAAGCGCGACGACGCAAGGGAGCGATGCGCTGAATTAGCTGCCGCTCCCGCGGAGAGATCAATGGCCTTCGGGGCTGGCGCGCGGGGGGTCCAAAGCTTGTCGCGGCAGCCCATCAACTCCAATTATTGAGCAATGCGAGATGGTCATCACAGCGCGCGGATTCTGGCACATCTGGAAAAATCCACATGGGCGGCCGGAAACGCCCCCGGATATCAGGGCCCTGCAGGTTTGCCTCGTCGAGGCGGAACTGCCGGACGCATGAGGTGGGATCGGTTTCCGGGCACACTTTGGAACGCAACGACGCACCATGATAGTCATTCTTCGCTGACACAATCAAATCTAGGGAGTAGTCCACATAGCAAGCCCCCCGGCGGGCATACCAGACTCTGGCGGAAGGATGTAATCGATTCGCGAAGTGGCGGCGCGCATGGACGTCCACGCGTGGCCACTCTCACCCCAAGCACTGCTGATTCGCATGTTTTCGTGCTCGGGCATGCTCGGTCCGACGGCGACAAAGCCGACTGTGCCAAGGCGCCCATTGGCATCTATCCAGAGAAGCCCGCAATGTGATGAGAGCCCTGCATCTTAGACTGCATTTGCGAAATCTGGCTCGGCCAGGCGTCGCGCGCGGGAGGGGGCGCGAGGAGCGAAGCGCATGTGCGACAAGAGAGCCGAGCTCGAGACAAATGCGAACAATGGCATAGGAGAGCGCGCGGCGACACAGACGCACGCTGATGCTCCCAACACTGCACGCCAAGAGAGCCATCGGGTTCCGCGGCGGCCGCAAGCATTGAATAAGATTGACCTTCGGTCTGCTCCGAGGTGGAGGAGCGGCATTCCTGAATCCCTATCACATCTACATGGCGATCTTTCAACTGCTCCTCAAGCAAAACGACCTTCGTGCGCACGCATACACCGCTGCCCTCGGCGCATGACCGCTCAGCCTGATAAGGATGAAGCGCCATCGCATTGGCAGTGGCGCATGCAAACAGCACTGGCGCACTGTCCAGCACATGTCGCTGATATCGTCGTCCCCCGACTGGAAAACTTTCGCCTGCCTGCTACGGAGGGTGAAATAGTCGTGAATGTAGCGTTTAGGAGGCTGCTTCTCACGATGGCGAACATGCAGAGGTCCCGGCGGTTGCTTGCCGTTCATCCGGCGGGGCGACGTCTGCGCAGCATTGGCCAAGGTGGCCCGGAACTTCGAGATGATGGCCTCGGACTGGGACTGCGCCTCGTTGATGGCCTCGGGAGAGACAGAACCGAACTTCGTTAGGTCTGCGCTACTGCTTGGAACTGGGCCATGAACTCATCCAGCGTGTCCTGACCCGGACGGAGGCGGAGGATGCGCGACCTGTTTCTCGAGCTCTGCCACGTCTGTTGCGCCAGCTTGAAGCCATCCTCGGCCGTGGTCTGGCGAGTGCGCGCGCGCTCGAAGGCCGCCAGGGCCCCGTCGAGGTGCTTGCCCAGCAGGCGGAGGTCGCCAATCTGCTTGCGGCGCGCACCGAGCTGCTGCTGGAGCTGGTTCCGCGCCAGCTCGAGCGAGGGGTCCTTCGGCATCGCCTGAAGAGTGGCCTGGAGCTGTCTGACGGATTCGACAAGCTCGCTCTTGGTCGCCGATGCCTCCTCCTCGGCGGGGTCGGAGGGCGGCGCCGCCGTCGGAGGTGAAGACGAAAGGGCCAAAAGGTGCCACGCCAGCCCCCTGAGCCAGCTCCTCCGCAACGATCTTGAGGTGCTGTTGGACCGGATTGCCGCCAGGGCGGGTAATCGTAGAAACCGTGGGGCTGCTGTCCAACGTTGGAGGCGCGTTGAGTGACCCTTTCGCTGCTTCCGCCCACGATCGCCGCAACCCGCACGTGGAGCAAGCCTGCTTGCTGAAGTTGGTAGACTGGCATCCCGAGAACGTCCACAACGTCATCTCGACTGGCTTCTGGCGGGACCCGACATACTGCCAGTGCCCCGCAGGGTCGCGTTTCCGCTCCGACGTAGCTGGCGACTGCAATGGCGGCTGCGCTCGCTGCGCAGAGCCACCTGGTGAAGTCCACGAGCGCCATTGCGCCATGCCGGGCACCCTGCGCGGCAAAAAGACAATGGGCGGACGGGCTGCGCGTGAGGAGCACAAGTGCAAAAGCTGGTTTAGTCTTACGCTACAGCTCACGCCTAAACCTTAGGCTTGAGCCAAAATTGATACGGATTCTCTCTCTCTCTCTATATATATATACAAGACTGCATTGGCGCTTCGCGCAATGCACCTTGGTCTGATAAGTGGACGAAGCAGGCAGACTGAGAGAGGTAAGCCGGCCAAGACAGAAATAGTTTCTGGTGGCCGATGTCGCCATCACAGTGGTTACATTGTTCTTCTTGTAACTTCCCTTATTGTTGTTTTCGTCCATGTTCTCTTCCGAAGTGTCGAGTAAACTGGCACACGAAGGCTTCTTCGTCCTCTTCTGATTCGTTCGCGGAAGCTCCTTCGTGGAGAATTTCTGGAGAGCTTCGCGGAAGCATTGCAGGGGTTCCTTGGGAGCCTCTGGAGGCGGCCGTGGCGCCTTTCGGCGACTAGTGGGGAAACCATCGAGCCACCATACCGGGAGTCGTGGTTCCAGATCACGCTTTGCATTCTTGGGGAAGTTGTCTTGAAGACAATTTAGGGCCGTGGTGAGGTCTCCCGTGGGCAGAATTGGGGCCGTCTTGGACCCTCATGGGGCCCTCTTGTACTGTCAAGAAGCCCGTCGGACTTGTCGTGGAGCGTTTTTCGCTGTTTTTTCTAGCGATCTCGGACGCTTGGAAGCTTGAATGAGCGAGCATCCGAACATTTAACAAAAACACATTGAAACATCCAGGAGTTTTCCAAATTTCGATCGCCTCTTCCAGGTGACATTCGGGCCGTCTTCGGGCGTCCAGCGGGGGTCTGGGGCGCTTGATGCCATCTTCGATCGTTTTGGGAGTCTCTTAGGCCTTGTTCCGGTTGTTTGCGATCATTTTGGGCCAGTCATGGGGCCGCATGTGAGCAATTTGGGGGCCGTCCTGGGCCCTCATGAGACCGTGTTGGGGGGACAGGAAGTGCATTTGGCTCGCCTTGGAGCGCTTTTTTCCAGCGTTGTCGGACGCTTGGAGGCCCGAGTGAGCGAGTATCCGGAAATCATACGAAAAAAAAAAATGACGTATCAATGTTTGTCCAAATTTCGAGCGCCTCTTCCAGGTGAAGCATCCGCCACCGTGCCTTCAGCACGTAGTGGAGTGCCTCAAGACTCATGCAGCCCTCTAGCACTGAGAGGTAGAGGGGCTGTAAGGCTCTAAGGGCCCGAACCCCCAGTTCCGAGCCGCTCCCAGGATTTCCCAGGAACTCTTGAAAGCTCCTGAGAGCTCCTGGGGCTACTGGGAGCCCCTCGGCCGGGTTAAGACGACCTCCCGAACCCTCTGGAGCGTCTCCAGAACCGCCTCAGATGGCCCAAGAGGGCCCCAGAGCGGTCCAAGACAGCTTCAAGGCGGCCCATTGTGACAGCCCGGGGGCCCACAAGACGCCCCAAGGGGGCCCCGAGAGCACCCCAAAAGACATCAGTTCTTGAAGGAACACGTATATTTCCAACATGTTCCCCCCCCGGGTTTTCACAGCGTCCAAGGCGGCCCAGGAAACCTTCAAAACGCCCAAAGATGGCCCCAAAGGCCTTCTAGAAGGCCCCAAGACGGCTCAAGAGGGCCCCAAGACGGCACAAGAGGCAGGCGCCCAAGACGGCCCAAGCAGGCCCCAAGAGGGCCCAAGATGGGTCCAAGATGGGGAGCTCGAGCTGAGATTTCGAGCCCTCCACCCCAAGGCGCCCCCAAGGATCGCCAGCAAGCCCCCAAGAAGTCTCCAAGAGGACCCATCAGGCCCAGAAGAAGCCCCAGGAGGCCCCCAAACGGCCCCCATGAGGCCAAAGAGGCTTCAAAACTGCCTCCACGAGACTCCCTAGAGAGACCCCGACAAGCATCCAAGCGGCCACTGACCCACAACCCAGGCACTGTGGCAGAATGGGCCGCAGGCCACTACATATACCTATAAGACCACCCTGCGGGTGATAAGGAGGTTGGGGGGGAGGGGGCCAGCAATGGGCAACAGTGGTCATTGTTGTTCTGACGGTGCCAATGGAGATTGTTGCGTTGCCGCTCGCTCTTGGGAGCCTTGGTGTCGAGTTGTTTACGTCACCCTTCGCTCTTGGGCGCCTTGGCACCACTTCCCCCCCCCCCGGGAACCAACGAAATAATAAATTAGTTCGTTCATTCTGCAAGGGCTTGGGGAGCCGTTTGGGCTCGTCTTTTGGACCCCTTGGGGGGCTATTGGGGGCCTCTTGGGGGGCATCTTGGGAGCCTTTTGGGGCTTCTTGGGGGCCTCTTGGGCCTCCCGGGAGCTTCTTAGAGCGACCCCGACAAGCCTGTTCCGGCAACGTTCGTACCCTACTGGGAGCCTTGGTGTTCAGAGATTGTTGCGTTGCCGCTCGCTCTTGGCACAGCATACAGCACGGGATGCCGATGTGCCTGACGATTTGCATGTGCACTTGCTTATCGATGTGCATGTCGATGTGTTTTTCGATCTGCATTTCGATCTGCATTTCGATTTGCATCACAACATCAGTCTCACTATCGATCCCACGATCGATTTCACTATCGACCTTACTATCGATCTCACTCGATCGATCTCACTATCGGTCTCACTCGATCGATTCCACTGTCGATCTCACTCTCGATCTCGTTTTCGATCCCACTATGGATCTCACTATCGATATCACTCCATCGATATCACTATCGATATCACTATCGATATCACTATCGATCTCACTATCGATATCACTCCATCGATCTCACTATCGATCTCACTATCGATCTCTCTATCGATCTCACTCGATCGATCTCATTATCGATCTTACTCAATCGATCTCACCATAGATCCCACTATCGCTCTCACTATCGATCCCACAATCGATCTCACCATCGATCTCACTCGATCGATCTCACTATCGATCTCACCGTCAATTTCACAATCTATCTCACAATCGATCTCACTATCGGTCTCACTATCGTTTTCGCACCAGCGGGACACCGGGACACCAGCGGGACACCGGCGGGACACCGCGCGGCCCCGTTTGCCGGTCGGGAAACATTTGTCCGGCCGCGCCTCAGCCACAGGAGACTTACCGGGACACCAGCGGGACACCGGCGGGACACCGCGCGGCCCCGTTGCCGGTCGGGAAACATTTGGTCCAGCCGCGCCTCAGCCACAGGAGACTTACCAGGACACCAGCGGGACACCGGCGGGACACCGCGCGGCCCCGTTTGCCGGGGGGAGAACATTTGGTCCGGCCGCGCCTCAGCCACAGGAGACTTTCCTCTCGCCCGCCCACGCAGCTTCGCCTCGCCCGCACGCACGGCACGCACGAACACGAAACCAAGACCGATTTCCCGGTGGGGGGCTCTCCGTTCCACTTCGATCTCACCCCCCAACCTCCGACATATTATGTAGCACCCCGCAGTTGCGGATAAGAGTGAGGGGGCGGGCGCCGGCTGGGGTCGCGGGCGTGTTGCGGGAGGGTCGCGGGTGGGTCGCGGGTGGGTCGCGGGTGGGTCGCGGGTGGGTCGCGGGTGGGTTGCGGGTGGGTCGCGGGTGGGTCGCGGGTGGGTCACGGGTGGGTCACGGGTGGGTCACGGGTGGGTGGCGTGTGGGTGGGGGATGGATCGCGGAGGTTGGGTCGCGAGTGGTTCGCGTGTGGGTCGCAGGCTGGGTCGCGGGTGGGTCGCGGGTGGGTCGCAGATGGGTCGCGGGCCGGGTCGCGGGTGGGTCGCAGGTCGGGTCGCGGGTGGGACGGCGACAACAAATAGCTAATAACTTAACAACATAAATCCGCACCGCGGAACCCCACTTCAGCCACGCACCCAGGGACAGCGAATTACCGTTCGGATCCCTCACTCCGACAGATAACTACGCATACCTATATATAAATATATATGTATATAAGTATACATACATACATACATACATACATACATACATACATACATACATACATACATTCATACATACCTACCTACCTACCTACCTACCTACCTACCTACCTACCTACCTACCTACCTGTCTACATACATACATACATACATACATGCATGCATGCATGCATGCATGCATACATACATACATACATACATACATACATACACACAAACATACAAACATACAAACATACAAACATACATGCATACATACATACATACATACATACATGCATGCATGCATACATGCATGCATGCATGCATACATACATACACACATACATGCCTGCCTGCCTGCTTGCCTGCCTGCCTGCCTGTCTGTCTGCATGCATGCATGCATGCATGCATACATACATACATACACGTCCGCCTGTCTGCCTGTCTGCCTGTCTGCCTGTCTGTATGTATAGCATAGTGTAGAGCGCGGCATGGGGCCCACAAACATCATGGTGCAGCCTGAGGCTGACAGACTCTGGAACGAGGGGCCCTGCGCCGACCGAAGAGATCCGTGCCTACCCCCAAAAGCTTCTGCTGATGCCGCTCGTCTTGTGTTCTGCTGCTCGCGGGAATATGGAGGTGCTCCAGCCCTTCCGCAGAAGCGGTCAGCACCGAAGCGATAAATCGGCTCGGGGCGGAGCGTGCATCGAACGGGTCGCATCGGCACAGTTCCAGAATCGAGTCGAATCGGCCGTGCCAGGATGCACCAGGAATCTATGTGTATCTATAATGATTGGACTCACATGTGGTGGAACATCCTGCGGCCACGCGCTCGATGCACATGCGGAAGACCAACATACCCCGACACTTGCCATCGCTCGGACATCCACTCCCTGTGTATTTCTCGGTTTCGTCCGCTAGTTTTCTCAATATGATCCCATTTTCTTAGAAGGAGAAGATGGGAGCGGACAGAAACAATATTCACGCAACTAGCCTCGCCAAGGCGCCGTCGAAAAAGCATGCTACCCGCAAGGTTGTCCTGCGAACGTGGCCGATTTCTGCCAACGGAAACAAACACGCTGAACAGGCAAGAACAAGTTTCGCCGGGGTCGGACCTCAAATCGAGGATTGGCCAAAACACCCAAAATTGGAGAGACGGCCTGCAAAGACGGCAACGCGCAACGAAAAAGTCACGAATTACGGCCCGCAGATGCGGACCTAGAGAGAACGCGGCTCGCGCGTGCGCAGTTCGCATGGGTGTCCCTCGCGATCGCTGGCCCAAGGAGGGGCGGCAAATTCAAACACAGCATGTATTTATATTTGAGGAAGCGGCGGCGGCAGCGGCAAGAAGGACGAGAGAAAGGAGGAGAAAGGGGGACAGGGTGGGGGCGTGCAAGCAAGATGATCCTCGCAATATGATCCAAAATGCTCCTCGAATGTTCTCGCCGAGAAAAAATGCACACGTCCGAGCGATGCCAAGGACATATAGGAGCCGAGCACTGGAAAGAGATGTGGTCACATGCGTATCTGGTTCTCGCCCAGAACCGCCGCGTCTCGTGCATCCAGCCTGCTGGAACAAGAGCGCCTCGCAAGCGTCGGGCCGCACAAGGTCGGCGGCGAACACTGGCATTGAATCGGATCGGGCGGACCGAAGCCAATATTATCGATTCGGATAGATGTCGGACCCAGGGATCCGATGCCTTGATTTTTCAACACTGGGTCCTGTGAACTCCCGAACCTCTCCCTGGTGCTGGTTTTCCGCCCTGGAGCTTTTCAACGGCCCACGAGCCAGGGCCAGAACACTGCCCACAAACGCGGCAAACTACGAACAGAAAAAAGTGCCCCTTTTTTCTATCAGAACGCTGATTGTCGGGCCTGCAGGTCGTAACTCGGGTCTCCGGAGGCCGTTCGGGACGATCCAGCCACCCCCAGACGCCTCGCGGCGAGGCGCAGCTTCTGGAGAGCACTGGGGCTGACAAGCCGCTGAGGGTCGACGACAACGTCCGAAAATCTGGACCAAAGAACAAACGACACCAGGTGCACCCCTCACTGCACCGACCTTGACGTGCTGCACCGGGTTTGTGCGCAGATTTCGGTCAATGCAACATCCGGAAAGGCGAGTGAAAAACGAAGCGAATTTCGCGTGGGTATTTTTTAGTCTTCGTTCCTGGCCAAGAAAAATCAGAAGAAAAATCCGCGCGAAATTCACCTCGAAATCAGGAGCGCAATTCTCCAGGATGATCGGGGCCCATCCCGTGGTTTTCCGAACCGAAATCCGCTCTGCGACGTGGGCGCCGTGACCCTACGGCCCCGCGGGGACGCCGGAGCCCTCCAGGGCGCCCGACCTGCCCGGAGCTCGGCGCGCGCCCCGCGCCGCCCCCCGACGGCGGGCCGAGGGGTGCAGGCCTTGGCGTGCTGCGTCTTCCGCATGGCAACCTCGGCCGGACGGCTTTTTTTACAAAAAAGTCTTGCATATATATATATATATATATATATATATATATATACATGTGTATATATACACATGTATATATATATATATATATATGTTTATCTACACCTATCATTATAAGGTTCTGGATATTACGCCTGCAGAGACCTGTGCTATGGAATGTGATGGTTACATGCGTTGGCACTGACGCAGCGCTACGGTAGCACGAATACTGGCCACGGTAACGCCCGCTCGCTCCTCTTTCGGGGGGCTTCTGCTCCGTCCTCTCCCAGCCCCTCCTCGCAACCACTCGCCCATCACCATCACCATCACCAGCACTATCACCATGATCATGACCATGACCATTCCCATCATCACCATCACCATCACAATGAACATCACCATCACCATCACCATGACCACCACTATCACCTCCATCACCATCATCATCGCCATCTTCACTTTCAACATCCTCGGGTCATCATCTGGATCATCACAACCATCATCACCACCACCATCACAATCAGCATCTTCATCACCATCATCACCAGCACCACCATCGCTACCATCACCACCACCACCACCACCATCATCATCATCATCATCATCATCATCATCATCGTCATCATCATCAGCATCGCTATCCTCATCCTCGCCCTCCTCCCCATTGTCATCCTGATCCTGATCCTGAACTGATGCTCACCATCACCATCATGCCCATCACCATACAAATCATCACCAACATCACGATCATAACCACCACCATCACCACCACCACCATCAGCATCATCACCATGATGACCATCACCATCACTATCAGCACCACCATGACCATCACCAGCAGCACCACCACCACCACCACCACCATCTGCATCATCATGATGACCAACACCATCACTTTCAGCATCCCCATCACCATCATCACAATCGCCAACATCATCAAAATCAGTATCACATCATCGTTGTCATCATCACAATCAGAGTCACCGTCACCACCACTTGCATTATCACCAACACCATCGTCATCATCATCATCATCGTTTGAGTCACCATCATCAACAACACCATCAGCATCAGCAGCATCGTCAGCATCAGCATCATTATCGTCGTCATCACCATCACCATCACCATCGGTCACATCAGCATCATCCTCACCCTCCTCCCACACCTCCTCTTCCTCCTCAAGATCATGAGCATGACCACGGTTATCACCATCACCATCACAATCCTCATCACCAACACCATCACCGTCACCATCATCACCACCACCATCATCATATCAACATAGCATCAGAATCAGCCGCACAATCGTTATCATCTTTACCAGCATCTGCGTCATCATCATGACCATCATCAATATCATCAATATCATCACCATATCATCATCATCAGCATCAGCATCATCATCATCATCGCCATCATCTGCATCATCAGCATCATCATCAGCATTACCAACATCATCATCATCATCATCATCATCATCATCATCATCATCATCATCAACATCATCATCATCATCATCATCGTCAGCAGCAGCAGCATCATTAGGAGCCGTTTCGGCACAAGCCATTTTGGTTCAAGCCAGTTTGGCTCAAGCCTGCCTGGGCGGCAGGCGGACGAAGTGCGCGGCGTCTCTTTCTCCTTCGTAGAATTATCCCGTACAGTAAGGATGCGCAGTAAGGATGCCAGGGCCTTAGAAGGCCATGTCGACACTTTGTGGCCGTGGCGCGGCAAGCGAAAGCGGCCAAGGATGGGCTGAGTGGGAAGGATGCAAGGGTAACCTTGGAAAGTTGCTCATCACTAATACGCGGGTTGACTGTAGGAGAGAGCGGCTCAGTATCCTTCCCCTCCTGTGCGGCAGTGGCAATGGCTGCGGCTGGCTGCAGTGCCGCTCCCGCCGCGGCGGAGCAGCCACAAGACACTGCACCTGCAGGCGCGTCGATTTGGCCAGAAAGGCGCGCCAAGCAAGTCGCAGCGCGGATGGCGCCCGCGAGGCGCCGGCACGCAGCCCTCCAGCGCGTGCTGGACCTGGAGCGGCAGGTCGTGAGCCTGGAGACGACGCTCGCGACGGCCGAGGAGGTACACCAGGCTACGGCGCTGCAAGCGATTGCCCTTGCGGAGCTGGACACGACCATCCGGCAGGCCGCCGCGTGCGCGGACGAGCGCGAGGACGGAACGTTCCGCGCGGAACTTGCAGGGCGGCTGGCGTTGGAGGCTACTGTGCTCACGGCTGGCCTGGCTGCCTAGGCACAGAGTGGCGATCGCGCCACCCAGGTGGGCACACTGGAAGTGCAGAGGCGCAATGACTCCGCTCATGCGTTTCACAAGCCCGTCGGCGTGATTGTGAAAGCGGGGGGCATGGAGCTCAACCGCCTCCAGCGGCGGGCCTGGCCCCAGCCTGCCGCTAGGCGCCAACGACAGCCTTGCAGCCGCCGCCGCCCGTCTGGGCGCGTACGGCGCTGACGACAGCCCGCGGCGCCTGGCCCGCGCCTGCTGGCGCCCGCTTCGCGCTCTCGGAGCACGTCTGCAGCGCTGGCCAACCCATCGTGGCCCCCTTCGTCTCGGGCGCGCGATGGTGGAAGGCCGCCGCGGTGTTGGCGGGGCGGTTCGACGGGGACGAGACGAAGAAAGCGGAGCCCTTTTGTCGAAGTCGTGCCCGACACCGAACCGAAGCCCAACCCGACGGCTGACGAGGACGATGAGGAGGTCAGGAGCGAGGAGCTGGACATCCAGGAGGGCATTGACACCCCTGAGCGTCGCGAGAGGTAGCAGCAGCACGACTCCACGAATAAGGATCATCAGTCGCACAACGTGGAGCAGCCCAGCGTTGGGCTTCAGCAGCTGGTCTCGGTGGAGGTCGGCCCCATCTACGATGATATCAGGAAGGCCTGGACGGCCGCAGTCGCTTCCGACGGCGCTGACGGCATGAGCGACAAGCTGAAGGTGGCCCTCGGGGTGGTGAAGGCTTTCGAGGGGCGCCTGGCCGGGCGACCTCACCATGACGGACCTCAAGACGCGCGAGGATTGGGAGAGGGCCAAGCTAGAGCTCATCCTCGACAAGCTGGCCAGCTCCACGATCAAGTCGTACAGCCTGGGCTGGAGGTGGTGGACCCTCTTCTGCGGGACGAGGGGCATCAGCCCGCTGCGGGAGGTCACGGCCGCGAACAGGAAGGATGAGGAGGAGCTGCTGCTGGAGTTCGTCATCCACCTGGCGCGCCGAGGCTGCAAGAAGGCGGGGACCATCAAGCAGTACTTGAGCTCGGTTCGGGCCCAGCACCTCGCTCTCGGCATGGGCGACCTTACCGAGGGTGCTGGCAGGCTCTGGATGGCGATCGACGGGCTCAGGAGGCGCGACGGCGACACCAAGCGACACCAAGCGCAAGAAGCCGGTCACGCCCCGCATGATGAGGTGGATCAGGCGGAAACTGCAGCCGTAGAGGTCGAGGGAGGGCGCGGCCCTGTGGGCCGCGGTGGCCACGGGCTACTTCTTCCTGCTGAGGGCCAGCGAGAACGTCTCTGGCGACCAGAACGGCTACACGGGCGGCAAAGGTCTCCGGGCGCGGACGTGACCCCGAAGGCAGGCGGGGACCCCACGCGAGACTGGAAGGAAGCGAACGAGGTCGTGATCAAGATCAGGGCCAGCAAGGCCGACCAATACAACCGAGGAGAGTGGCGCAACCATTTCCGGGTCGAGGCTCCGCCAGACGCAGAGAAGGACGAGCACAGCTGCGTGGTGGAGGCGCTGGAGATCTACGAGTGATGGGCGCGAGAGCGGTTCTCGGGCGCGCAGATGTAAGACCCGCTCTTCGCCTACGACGACGCGCGTCTCGTCACGAGGGCAGATGTCCAGCGCGTGGTGATGCAGTCGGCTGTGGCGGAGGGCATGGACCCAAACGATCTGGGCTCCCACAGCTTGAGGATCGGAGGAGCATCAGCGCTCTATGCGGCGTTCAAGGACACGGCGCTCGTGCAGCGCTGGGGGAGGTGGAAGCGACGCCTTCCAGGGCTACCTTTGGGAGGCGCGCGGCATGGCGGAAGGAGTGGCCAGCAGCATGGCGGCCACAGACATCACGATGGTCTAAGTGCTGCGCGGCCGTAGTGGCCTGAGGCTCGTGGCGCGTGGGCAGCTTGTGGCCGTTTAGGCTCTGGGCTGGGAGCGCAGGGGAGCCTCGAGGCTGGCAAGGCGGCAGAGGCAGCATAGTGAAGGGCTATCAGAGGAGGGGGCACAGAGGTAGGTCTGCGGGCGAGGCGGGACGGACACCGCTGAAGGCCTTGAGAGGGGCGGCGGGGGAGGGGTAAGGAGGGACGAGCACCTCAGGAGACCCTGACGGCAGCCTACCCTGAGCGCGTCAGATCCCGACCGCCCCATGGCGAAGTGCCGGGCAGTGAGGAGCGGTTGAGCAGATGCAGGCGAGAGGTGGAATGTTTTGAGGTGGCGCCGCCAAGTGAGGAGCGGTCGAGCAGACGCAAGTGAGAGGTGGAATGTTTTTGCGGCAGTACTGCCAGGAGTGCTGGGTCCGAGTGGGGCCAGGTCCCCCCACCAGTACGAGCGGGGGCCCTCGAGGTGGGCCCCGCGGCTCGAGGTGCAGCGTGCACCGGAGCACGGATGGGGGCGACAGCCAGCGCGCCCGGCGGGGTGCCGCGCACGCTAGGGCCAGAGCTCGCGCTTCGACCGAGGCGCCACAGGCCGCTTGGAAAAGGTGGCGCCTGAGGAGGAGGAGGAGGAGGAGGAGGAGACGGAAGGCGGCCTGAGCGGTCCAGGCCTCGCGAGACCCAAGAGCCGCGATCCGCCCGAGGCTTAGGGGCGGAGCTGCTGATGGGAAACCGAGACCTTGGCCCTGAGCGGGGCCATCGCGGAGGTCCAATGGCTTCAGGTACTCTGGCGTGACGCCGTTTAC